CTGCTGAGGTGTTATGGAGGCCCAGGATGCTTCGATAGCGGCCTTAAGCTCATCCAGAGTGTTGGGTCTTGCGTCTCTCAACTTTCTCTTCACAATATCCCACTTCAGGTCAGGAGAGTTGGCAGGCCAATTGAGCACAGTAATACCATGGTCAGTAAACCAGTTACCAGTGGTTTTGGCACTGTGAGCAGGTGCCAGGTCATGCTGAAAAATGAAATCTTCATCTCCATAAAGCTTTTCAGCAGATGGAAGCATGAAGTGCTTCAAAATCTCCTGATAGCTAGCTGCATTGACCCTGCGCTTGATAAAACACAGTGGACCAACACCAGCAGATGACATGACACCCCAGTGACTGTGGGAACTTGACACTGGACCTCAAGCAATGTGAATTCTGTGTCTCCTCTCTTCCTCCAGACTCTGGGACCTTGACTTCCAAAGGAAATGCAAAATTTACTGTAATCAGAGAACATAACTTTGGACCACTCAGCAGCAGTCCCAGGTGAGATGCTTCTGACGCAGTCTCTTGTTCAAGAGTGGCTTGACCTGGGGAATGCAGCACCTGTAGCCCATTTCCTGCACACGCCTGTGCACGGTGGCTCTGGATGTTTCTACTCCAGACTCAGTCCACTGCTTCCGCAGGTCCCCCAAGGGCTGGAATCGGCCCTTCTCCACAATCCTCCTCAGGGTCCGGTCACCTTTTCTCATTGTGCAGCGTTTTCTGCCACACTTTTCCCTTGCTACAGACTTCCCACTGAGGTGCCTTGATACAGCACTCTGGGAACAGCCTGTTCCTTCAGCAATTTCTTTCTGTGTCTTACCCTCTTGCTTGAGGGTGTCAATGATGGCCTTCTGGACAGCAGTCAGGTCGGCAGTCTTACCCATGATTGCAGTTTTGAGTAATGAACGAGGCTGGGAGTTTTTAAAAGCCTCAGGAATCTTTTGCAGGTGTTTAGAGTTACGTCGTTGATTCAGATGGTTAGGTTAATAGCTTGTTTAGAGAAACTTTTCATGATATGCTCATTTTTTGAGACAGGCATTTTGGGTTTTCATGAGCTGTATGCCATAATCATCAGTATTAAAACAATTAAAGTCCTGAAATAGTTCAGTTGGTGTGCAATGAATCTGAAATATATGAAAGTTTAATTTTTATCATTACATTATGGAAAATAATGACCTTAAATAGCACCTTCTCAGAGTGGATCAACCAATTTTGCTGCTGACAACCAAAACCAGCTGATCACATGGTCAAGAAGGACCATCAGCCTAACAATGGATCATTAGCACCTGATGGCTGTTTACTATTCACAGGAGGCTGAGTGATACTAGCAATCACAGCATTGGAAGAGGGAGACAGTTGAACACGGAGGCTCCACCCGTTTCTCCCTGCCTCTGCAATCAGCTTCATTCATCGCACCTGTGCACCTCCCTACTTAAGCTCCCTGTTCACCCTCATTCAGTGCCAGATTCTCGAACCTCTCTGAGCAGTAGAAATCCAGCACTTCTTGTCCTTGCATCCTGCCTAGTTCTGAACCAAAGCCTGTTTTTCGACTACCCGACCAGCCTGCTCCCTTTTGGATTTTGTCTGCTTCAGTCCTCTTGGTTATTACCCTGCGCCTCCACACCGACCATGATTCTAGATCATGTTTTTGGATTTATTCTCTGCCTCCCTGTGCTCGAACCCCTGCTACCCATCTTGGACCCTGGAACTGGATTTGCCCTTATTGGATCTGTACGCTTTCCGTTTGCTCCGCTGCTGCTGTTCACTCGGCATGAGTGACGTCATCGGCTCCAGCGAGACTACAGCTCCTGTTATTCCATCGAGACAGAAGGTTAGTGACATTCATTGTACTTCTCCTTGCCTCCCCATCCTCACCAGGTTCACTAACTCTTCTGTCTTGACAGATCGGACCCAGGCCCGTACCCAGACCTGCACAAGAAGCTGTTCATTTCCTAATACATTTTTTTAAACCATTTCTGTGTTGGGTGTTGATGTGCTGATCCAAACTGGTTCTTGACAACCTCAGACTGAAGAAGTCTTTTGGATGAAAGAAAAAAGTTTCTACTTTTTTTTGTTTGTTTTTTGAATGTCCTGAGGACCAGACTTAACATTTTTAGAAAGGTCACCTATGTTATTCACTTACTGAAGTCAAAAAAAAAAATCTGTATGCTTTTTAATAACTGTTTATTGATAAAATAAAGATAAATAAAGATTAAATTAATGAAAAAATGTTATAACTCATATTACCTGTGTGTGTGTGTGTGTGTGTGTGTGTGTGTGTGTGTGTGTGTGTGTGTGTGTGTGTGTGTGTGTGTGTGTTAAAGAGTTGATTTGTCTGGATCAGAGTTCTGCAGAAAAAACTCAAGCCTAAGCAAGAGGCTGCAAGGGTTGACTGACCTTGGATTTGTCTGATAAACATTATAAAGGGACACTCTTTTATTCTCTCAGTGAACAGACCTGGAGACAAAGTCATGTAACATCTTGACTGGTTTTATTTCAACCTCTGTTCCATCTTACAACACTAAACCTGGGAGAAGAAAATTTTCTACCTCTCCTGTTTGGCATATTTATTTAATGAGCTACAAAGATAATATTAAATTACCCCAACAGTAACTACCGTACCCATCACTGCACCCAGTATTCACTGGTTAACTGGTCACCATTAACTTAACACAGACTC